AATTTTGGACGAATAAATCAAAAGTAGCCACTGCCACTTAATTCGAATCGCGATATGAACTAGTGTCTGTAAATATTAAAATGCAAAAAGACGGTTTAAATATGAATCCTGCATGTTCCGCTTGCCTCTGCATGTATGAATGGCGGAAACGCGCTTTTGTTTACTACACAAATACTGAAGCACACGTGACGCTCGCTGTGATTTTCGGCCTCTGCTTCTCACTATATGACGGCATGAACACAGAAACTTAATCTCCAGAGCTGCTGTGAGAGTCACTTCGCGAGAATTTTACCGTTTCATTTGAGAAAACTAGCATCATCATACTGTATACACACAGAAACTTCATGGCAACCGGTCAAAAAAAAAGTACGGTTTAACATGTAACAGAAATATATTACTCTTGCATTACATTTGTAAGGAATAATTGACGACAGGCTATTGAATTATTATCTTCTGCGAGGCGTATTTGGAGTTTCAGCGCGAGAGCGCCCTCTGGCCTTTGGATGGAGAATTACTGCTGATCACAGAACCGTGCTTCACTGAAAGATACGCATGACAATCGCAGCTTCTGTCGAATTGCGATTTCGATTCCATTTCGATTTATCGTGCAGCCCTACCGTTGGGTACCGGCACCGAAATTCAGGTACCGATACCGGTACCGTACCGGTTAAAATGTGAACTGTACCCAACCCTAATCATTAGGATCTCCTTCTTCACTCTATACTAGGCCTATATATCATACAGTATATAGTATATAAAATGAGGTAGTATTCCATTCAACACAAAGCCTAAAAGAGAGAAAAAAAACAAAGTTACCCTCAGTGCTTGTGGGGAACACAGGGTCGTCTTTTTAGGAACAGCCAAAATGCCAGAAGGTTTTGCCTTTCCTTTAGACTAATCACATGCTTTGGCACAAAGATGAGCAACAATCTTGACCGCAAATCCAAGCTTTGGGTCCTTGGACTTAATGTGACCCACTAAAAAGGTGCCTGAGGACGGGATTCTACTCAGGCACAAGATTTCAAACACTTGTTTCCTGTGCAGATAGATATCGCGGTCCATGCTAAGAGAGATTTAACAAGTAACGGACCAAATGTTCTTTCGAAATTTTGCTTAAAGATTCAATATAGAAGTTGTCTGAACAACTACACTGAACCACTCAAAAGTCTTAAGTTTGTTAAAGACTCTGAGCAATTTAAAACATGAAAATACATATCAAAGCAGTATTTCAAGGTGATAAATCAATGTAAAATCTAAAATTGAGGGGTTTAAAAGCACATTGAGCAGAATGCATAAGATTTCGGATAGCAAGAGACGAAAAAACAAAACCTTTCCCAATTTTGTAACGTACAGACACTAAATCACAATAATGAAAAGAGGGTTTTAAGGAACTCTAAAGCAAACCATTGGAAGGTTAACACCAAAAATACTATGAATAGCTGAAATACTTGAAATAGTGAGAGTGGGGTTTCCTTTCCCCCCTGAGGGGGAAGCACGGAAGCACACGCCTGAAACCCAAGATGACAAAAAAATTACAGATGTTGAAAAGAAGAGCAAATAAATGGGGACAGATCCAATGGTAATCAAAGCAAGGCATTTGAAGCATCTTAGTTTTATTTATCGTACCCATAAATTCAAGATGAACCAAGCAGCCTCAAATCAGATGTCCTGAATCAGACAGGAAATACAGGACGATCCACAAACCTTCGCTCATGTTTACAATAAACCAATGTGACAAACAGCTCAGAATAGGAACTCTTACTGTTAAAGGACACTTTTGCGTAATATTCATCATGTTTTGCATTTTGAATAACAATCAGTCATGTGCAATGTGGTTGAATGGCTGACAAAGCAGCGCGAATCAGCTGCTCGGTGCCAAGATGAATCTAGTCAATCCCTAATCAGTTCAGCAATCAAGGACAAACAAGACACAGTTATATATACATGAGCTTAACCGGTTTACCCTCCACCATTTTTGCTCAACACTGGCTTCATTCATGACCTGGTGAGTGATTGCAGCCCCAGAGGAAAGCTACACCCGGTTAAGGGCCATTTTCAGCTCAATGCAAAGTCTTAGTGCTACTTAATCAGGGTTGATGACTATTTAAGTCTCTTTTCATTACTGCCCGCGGCAGTCGACCATCAAAACAGCATGCAGGACAGCATTCTGTGGGCCCCAGCTAGAGCTAACACAGGACTAACTGCATCTCAACTGTCCCGCAAACAGACTGGCAGGGTTCAGTTTCAAAGCCAAGGTGTTTCTTTAACTGACCTGCATTGATACGGCGCAGACTGAGGCTCATTTTCCACTCCATAGGTCAATAAAAGCTTCATGGGGTTCAGACAACTGACAGCGACAGCTTGGTCTTTGTCCATGTGGATGAGTTTACAAACCTGCCCAGTCAAGCGGCAAAAAGCGGCCTGTTTTCTGTAAAACAGAAATCTGATCATATGCAAGAGAGTTAAACAAAGCACCGGTCCATGTTGGCCACAAGCCCCCAACATCCCTCTCCAACCAGACTGACATGCACCCAAACACAAGGTGACACCCCGACAGGGGTGACCTTCATAGAGACTGATTCTGGAACACCAGGTCCAGACAGCACTACATCAACCAGCCTCTGAGCACAAATGTGTTTGTGTTGCTGTCATTTCTCTGAAGGTGTCCGTACAGCACAGCACTTCATCAATATTATGCTGGTGAAACATGCCAGGACTGAAAAAATCAGCCTGCTCATGTAGGTTGTTTTCTAATTGGACACTGTTATTCATTGAGGCATTATGGGCTCTACGATTTTCAAATAGAACAATAACGAAGACGATTACAACAGTTGAAAGAAAGCCGAGGACGCAGCCTTTGTCAATTATGCCTCAAAGCTATGGAACACACTATCAAGAGATATTAAGGAAGTTGCTATGTTTTTAAAAGAAAGCTAAATACTTTTATTTATTTTTTATTTATTTATTTTAGCTTTTAACTAGCAAATTATTTCTCTGGTACGTTCTATGTATTATGTTGTCATTTATTATTATTTGGTTTCAATTTCCATTTTTGTTATGCATTTTATATATATATTAATTTTATATTTTGGGGTTAATTAAGGCAGCTGCTCGCTAAATATTTTTAGAAGAAAGCTAAAAACCTATTTTTTATTTCAGCTTTTAACTAGAAAATTATTTTTCTGATGAATTCTATGACAGGTTTTACTGTAAGGTACTTCTTCATGAGGGTACAACCTTACAGTAGGTACCACTTCTGTTTATCAGTCAAGCATGCCCAGATAATTTATTCCACTATCACTATCCACTATTTAAAAAAAAAAAAAAAACGTAAAAATGACGCCAGACCAATTCTGCAAGCAATGCACTTTCCTCTGGAATTATTCTAGTCTTGCTTCAAAGCCAATTATGTACAACACGGAAGTCAAAGGTCAAGTGCTTTCCCTAATTCTCTCAAATAAGCAATCAATGGAAACCACCACTTAAATTTGGGTTGATGAATGCCAGTTAACTAAAGCATCAAAATTATGCATGCTACAACAGTGTAAGTCTATTTAGGTGAGGAAAGCAAAGTTAAAGACTCCTAAACCATCTGTCACAACCTAATGATAATATTCCACAAACCAACCCACTCAACATGCACCCACGCCTCCAACATGCCATTCTGAATCAGACCGCCAACTGTCAAACATGCTCCTCCATCTGACCAGAACTGAGCCTTTAATTGGGACTTCTCATTACCGCATCTTATTCAAGTTTTGATCGAGTGGGACTGAATCACTCTTCCTCCTTCCCCATGCCATCAGTGTAACTTGCACCAAAAGTGGTTTCACCTGCTGGGAAATCAATGTGAGCTGGAAAGATAATGGCATTTTTATGCCAGAAATGGATTAAAGTACAGCTTTACCCCTAGATAACATGCATTGGATACTACATATTCACAACTATGACATAGACTTTTATAACACCCCATCATGTTTTGAATGAGTGTGTTATGCTTTCATCACTAGATGCCATTGCCAACGCAAAATACGTCATTGACAATGTTTCCTCTCTCTTAGAGGCATTTAATGAAATTTTATTATTATTATTTCATAATGTTTAATATTAAATTTTTTAATATGTTGAACAAAATTGTTCAAAACTGACTTTTAATAAACACATACTGTATAAGCCCGAGGTACTTCAGATGACATTATTAGAAAGCACAACATGACTGAATAAAACAGACGGCTCCCTCAAGATAGCATAATTATTCAGGCAAGCCATTAATAAGTAAAAATAATGAAATTAAACATTGATTGCAGCCAGACTGCTGACTAATCCACAGTAAACCACACATAAACACGCTAGCCAGGTTAGCTAGTTAGCTGGCTTTAAAGACCAGCATTAAACGGCCATTGTACAGGAATGCGAGAATGATTCCTTCTTATTTTTATTCCTTCATTTTAGCTTTTCTGTTGTCCATTCGCATATATCATAAAACAATCTTTCGGTTTTCATTCAGACAGCCCGACCGACCCAAGCAGGATATCACACACAGACTGTCCGGCTCGAATTAACTCACACAAAAACGGCCTAAATCTAATTTTCTGTCCCATTATGATGCGTTTTCCACTTTAAGATGAAATATCAGAGTGGGACAGAACGATCTCCGGGATGGTTTTCTTACCCGTGGAGTTGAGATCCGTATGTGCTTGTGTCAGTGAGTGCGTGTTGCTCGTGTATTCTTAACAGTAGTAATAATATCCCAAAGCCGCCGAGCGCTCCCAATAGTCCTCGGCCATGATCCTCTACGGCTGCTGCTGCTGCTCGTCCAGTCTCCACTGCTGCTGGAGCGACTTCTCTAAACCCCGCATGTCTCACTTACTGCTCCTTCTCTCCCGAAATTGCTAAAACGTTACAGCAGCTGTTCCTTTCCTTGCCAAATCCGGACTGGAGTGGATCATGGAAGCGACAGAGCAGCTGTGAATAGACTCAGGAGTCACTCACTCCACCACCACCAGGACTCGTTGGATAGGTTGGGGAACATGTAATTATGTCATTGAGCTAATTCTTGTGTAATTAATACGTTTTTATGATATATCTATATTCCTGAGTAGGTTGCTTCTGTGTATTATGCGTCCCTGTACTACTAAGTGAAAGTTTCCACCCCTAATAAATTAAACTGGCTCATAGTGGGCTGACCCGAATTCCATTCAAGAAAGTCAGACTGTACCATTCGGGCGGAATGCGCAGGGGAGAAGCAGCGGGTGTGCAGTGTCTAATGCAGTATGCTGTGGGCCACTGCATGTCATGCTGAGTCGTTACATATTTGACATATTATTTGTTTACGAAATTACGTTAAATTGCCGTTGTTTGTAGCAGGATCAGATTTATCATTAAAAAAGCTTCTAAATGCATCAATGCAGATCTACGTTGTTCCACCCTAGCTTAAGAAATAAATAAGTGTATCATTAAGTGTATCTGTAAGTGTATCATTGTATTATATTAGAATGGTGTGTACTGAAATTCAGACAGTTTATTGGTTTGAATTTAAACCATAGTATTTTTTATTCAGCAAGGATGCATTAAATTCATCAAAGAATCTCGAAAAAAAAAAAAAAGTACACAGTTTCACAGTTTCCACAAAGATATTAAGCAGCACAACTGTTTTCAACACTGCTACTAAGAAATGTTTCTTGAGCAGCAAATCAGCATATTAAAATGATTTCTGAAGGATCATGTGACGCTGAAGACTGGAGTAATGATACTGAAAATCATAGGAATGAATTACATTTTAAAATATATTCAATTAACAAACTGTTATTTTAAATTGTAATGACATTTCACTTATTTTACTATATTTTTAATAGAAGAAATGCAGCCTTGGTGAGCATGAAATTCTAGAAAAGTTGCAAGATGACGTGATACTAGAGTAGGTAAAGTGTGAAAACTATGGTAAGGGTAAACCGTAAATATTAATCCATAAAAAGTTGGCTGTTAAAACACATTAAAAAAACTTCTGAATCATCGTTTTGCAAGCCATTATAAGGTTTACTCTGTTCATGTGAGTGGTAAATCTGCTGTGGAGATGAAGCTGTAGTGAGGCCAAATCTTGCACAACACAGAAAAAGGAGCTTTCACTGTTTTCTGGGACCACTGAATTGAAACAGGAGAGGGGGATGGAGAGTTTAGCATTCCACACCACTGAAAGTCAAAGTTTTTTTACATTTTCTCTTTTCTTTTCTATGTATTTCATGTGTCATCCAAGCGGCAAACTTCCAGTCTCTCTCGTGAAACCAAGCTGGCTCCAAAAGGGAGTCAATCCCATAGACTCCCCATGTTAAAATGCCCAACTTTACAGCAGAAAATAATGTGTTTACTGCTGGTACAAAAAGTGGTTTATGTCTATATAGCTAATTTTGCCCTTCATGAGGGGGGTGAATTTTTTTTTACAGCTCATCTGTTTAAATTATATTAAGCCTTAAAGTTCTGCATAATTAAGGGCGTGGCCACTTGAGTGACAGGTGGATTGCCGCTGCTGTCACCACCGTCGAGCTAGGTGGGCGTGGTTTCAGCAACCAGCTCCCGCCTCTTTGCAATAGCGTCTGTCTGCGGACTGCAAGAGAGGGGCGTAAATGGAAGGGGGCGTAACTTGATTCTCCATCTTTGCCCATTTTCGATTATCCGGAAGTGAAGCGCGGTGACGCGCTGCCAAGATGGCTACGGCCGGCTCCGCCCACTTTGAGCTTCAGAAACGCTCTTCAGAAACCTACGGGTGACGTCACGGACACTACGTCCATGTTTTTATACAGTCTATGGTGTCATCATGTATGTGTCAGTTTTTTTATGTTGCCAATCTGAGTGTTACTCATTATTTGTAACATCTTAAATGACCTTGCAAATATGGTTAGACATGCTTGTCATGTGATCTTGCATCATAATCTGACTGCTAAAGCTGTGGGTATTTACACAGGTGTGGCTGTATGTCATAAACACACATAAGATAATAATTTAGGTCTAAAGGTTGTGTTGCTTTAAGCTGTAGTAAGGTCAACAATGAAATGACAGCAAGTTTTGAAGTAAGTCTCACAAAGCCTGTTGTATTTCTTTCCAAAATCAATAAAAATAAATATATAAAAATTCTATAAGTATATATCATATATCAAATTATATACTTTTTGATATTATATTTTATAGTATTTATCTCCAAAATCAATAAAAACTTAATATATAAAAATAATTAAAAATTATTTTTAAAATATTAAAATGTATTTTTTACTATTGTGACATTATTTCTATAACAATCAAGGGCTTTTGTAATTACAGTCATGTGAAAAAAATCTCATTCTAACCACAATGCAAAAATTTTTTATTAAATAAATTACTGTGATAATTAAATAATTACTGTAAAAATATTTAGAGTGTAAAATATTTATACATCATGGTAGTATTTGTTGTACTGCCTTTAAAAAAATCATTGTGTTCCGATGGTTGATTCTCATAGCTGCTTTAAGTTAATACCAATCTAATTAGAGTAATTAATGAGAGTAATGAGAACGCAAATATGAAGCATCTGAACCAGTGTTATTTTAGTATCATTCATAAACTATTATAGTTTTATTAATATTTTGAATCAGTTTTTATTTTTATATATTCAATTTTAGTTTTTGTTATTTTAGTACATCAAGTTAAAGTAAATTAAAATGAGAAATGCTGCTTAGGCAGCTAGCTGAAATTAAAGTTTTTTATATTAATTTTATTTTATTTCATTTAATGTTTATGATATCTTAAGCAACAAAAATTTTTTTTAATGGATTTAGTTTTACTATTTTACTATAATAACCCCAATCCAATAATGAAAATGTAACTGAAAATAAACACATACATACAAACATTTTAAAAAATGCTTAATTGTCATGGAAATACTGATAGATAAACAAATTAAAATCAAATAATTATACTAAGATGTACTGCATTTTCAGCATTATATTATTTCTTACTTTCAAGTGCAATTAGAAAAACAAAAACATGTTTTTAACAGCTTTGTGAGATTTACCCTTTGACCTTCACCTGTTTTTTCCCCTGATTTACACTGATGCCATATCTGTTGTGTAATTCTTTCTGACACTGCTTTGAAGTCTCATCTTTTGTGAATTGCGATGCTGTTAATGTCTCTCTCTTTTTTTTTTTTTTTGGCTGACCTTAATCATTTATTCTCTTTGTGAATGTCTCTCTCTGTCTTTCACAGGATGCTGTGGAGCTTGTTGGCAGTGCCGGTGGTTTCAGCAGCTGTCCTGTACGTCCTCTATCACTGGCTCATCCCTACAGCTGTGCAGAGCAGCGGCTGGCTGGCACTCCTCTGGCACGATGTCATCCTTGAGCGGGTCCTTAACATCATGACGGGATCATCACGACCTCAGGTGACCCTCACTGTCATTCATCACTCACATATATGCAGAGATGAGATGTTGATGTTCAAAGAAGACAGAGAGTCACTGCTGACAAAAAATACTATGTTTTTTGGTCATGTACCATGAAAATACTGTATTTTGGTGAAACTAACAGCCTGTAAAGAACATGCCATGGTTATATGATCTGATTGATCTTGAATGATATTTATACATCTAAAGCTTTGGTTATTATAGAGTATTCATCTCATCCCTCACACTCTCAATTTCAGTTGTTACCTTCAAGGAAATGATTTAGACAACCTTGGGCAAGTAAAACAGTGTACCAGATGTCATTTGTGCTAACTGCCATTAGAATATTAAATGGTGAGACATGAATATGAGTAGGTGTAGATAAGTATGCACATTAATTGTACACATGTGTATGTGTGTGTGTGTGTGTGTGTGTATGTGTATGTTGAAGTATAACATAGATGAGCTTTAGATCTTTTACATTGCTCTTATGCATATTTGTTTTTGTTGTTTTTATGTTGTTTTGTTAATGTCATTGTTTGTGGTGTATAGTGAAGCCAAAGACAAATTTCCACTCCAATTTCCACTCCATTCCATCTCAATGTATTTTTCAATGTATCATATTTATTATAAAATTTTTTCATTAAGAAAATGAAACCTATTTTTACATTTACATTTAATAATTTACATTTATTATACAAAGTGACGATGTAGAATAGTACAAGCTAGAACAGGGAGGAATATAAGAAATAGTGAAAACATAAAAGGAGTTTTTACAGTATTGTCTTTTTTCAGTCCATTAAGTTATTTATTCGTTCATTCATTTGTGCTGTGACATTATTACACAAACACACACACACACACACACACACACATATATATATATATACATACATATATACAGTATGTGTGTGTGTGTGTGTGATTTATTTATTACACAAAATATATTTTCCATTAAGAAAATTAAACCTAGGTCCAATCATTTTTTTTGTATTGTTACATTATTTTCACCATAATAAAGAACATTTGTATTAGTCATCTGAAAAAAAGTATCATAATGCAAAAATAAATTCTTTATGATGATTACATTTTTTTAAAAATCATTGTGTCCAAAATTAATTATTTGAAGAACCTCGGTGTATATAAATACCAGGCTACATGCATAAGGTAATCATTCATTATCATTGAATATATTAAAATACCACAGTATTCCCTTCTAACATCTGTACCACGGTACAGCCAAAGTACAATTTTTATGATTAAACAGGATTTTTCAATAGCAGAAACCCTATAAAATTGCTTTTGAAAGCAAGAGTAATTAATGTCCTCCTGTTATGTGTTTTTATTTTTCAACTGTTGTTCTCTGGCTTTGCTTTGCTAAAGAACACCGTTGATCATGGCTGATTTCTGTGAATGCAGCGCATGCTGAAAGCCGTTCAGAAGAATGCTACAAAAGGAGACCCTCAGAGCGTCATCTCAGCCATCGACCATTACTGCCGCCACAAAGAATGGGCCATGAACGTGGGCGATGATAAAGGTAGCAACCTCTATTCCCTCGCCTCCTTCTCTGCTCCCTTACTAATTTTCTCACCATTTGCATGATATTTTTGTTGCTTCTATTATCTCTGTATCTCTCTTCTCTGCTCTTGAGTAAATGGCTTTAGGGCTGCTAGCATTCAGAATAGCTGGCTGTTCTGAATGAGACGTGACGGCAGTCTCCTGTCTACTGGGTCAATATGCTCTCTGCATGGCTGCACACATGCACATTAGTTTCATGTACATGTGTGCACAATGTGCAGCCAATGCATCCCAGACAATCAACAGCAGCAATTAGGTGCACTGATGCATTATGGGACTGAGGATGGATTCATTTCTGAAGTGTTCCCCGAATGATCTGTTTTATACAATATACAAAGTTATCCAATTTTGATTGTTGATAGTTGACAGACATTAGAGGAACATGTCCGTAATTTACATTTTAGGGGAACTGACTTAATATATCCACTAAAAATCACCGGATGATTTAAAGACATTGAGCAAAAACACTGCAAAAAATAATTTTCTTACTTTGTATTTTTTCCCCCCAGTACAAACATTACATTTGCTTGAGAGGCAAGATTACTTTACTATATAGAACTATATATTATTTTATTTTTAGTTATATTATTACATCAAGTTAAACTAAATGAAAATTAGAAATGTTGCCTTGGCAATCTATAAATAAAATAAGTTTTACATTTTTTATATTTTTTATTTCAGTTTATTTTATCTCAATAATGATTTTTTAATGGTTTATTTTTATTTAACGGTGATAAAACGGGACAAGAAAAATATCTGGCAATTGGTTAAGAAAAATAAACTTAATTCAAAAGGAAAACAAGAATATTTTTCTTATTCCACACTGAACAAAAAATTGGCATAGAAGCATTTTTTTCTCAGAAATTGAAACCATAAAGAAACGGCAAGAGATACATTGAATTAAACGTGATATTTTGAAGTACAAAGACTGAAATAGTATTTTCTTGTAAAACATTAAAAAACAATAATGAATTGTGCATTGGCATATATACAGTATGTTTAAAGCCAAAACTTACTTAATTTTAAAAAACAAGACTATATCTTGTCATTTTGTATATCTTCTTGTGAATAATTTTGCTTCTCAAGTAAATGTATCTTGATTTATGAATGTTTAGACATTTGCAAAAACAAGGCAAAAATATACTGATTTAGAGAATCTTTTGAATGATGTACTTAAATTAGTTCTGAAAAAAGCTTGAGCATAAACTGATGCTTTTTACTTAGATATTTTGTTATCTAATGCAGTGATATTAAGTGAGTTAAGTATTCAAATATTTTTAGTGCCACTATATGACACCAAACAATGAACATCAGTATGATCTTATCCCTATTAGCAGCTCAATTTCATGTGTGACAACAGGCACTGATGAATAAACGATGGTGCTAATGGTGCAGAGAGGCTCTAATGATATTTCGACGTTGTCATTAGCCACCTCATTGATTAGTTTTCTCAGTTATCCTCTGGTTGAGCACCGTGTCTCTCTCTCTGAAGGGCTCATACTGGATTCAGTGTTGACGGAGGTAAACCCCAGCACAGCTCTGGAGCTCGGCACGTACTGCGGCTACTCCACCGTTCGGATCGCTCGACTGCTGTCCCCTGGCTCCAAACTCATTACAGTCGAATTCAACCCAGCCTTTGCTGAAGTTGCTCGTCAGATCATCGCCTACGCCGGCCTTCAGGATAAGGTGAGAAAAAGTTACACTGAGGGAAAAAATGGTGTAGCCTTTGAAACAATTTTCACTCAGAAACTGTATACAAGTAACATTGAATTAAATGTGAAATGTTTAAGTAGAATGGTTGAAATGTTATTTTCTTGTCAAATATACTCCAATAATCTTGATTAACAATGCACTAATAATCATGCACTGCTTACTGCCTACTATTTTCTAAATAGTATGAGTAGTATGTATATGCAAAATGAAACAAAAGTGTAAAATTAGAATATACTACACTGTTGCCACATGAACTCACTCTGTTGCATGTTTCAGCAAATTGCATCAAATTATCATTGAATTGCATTTATTTCAAAAAATAAAATAAAAATCTAATATCGTCTGAGAGAAATAGACAAAACTACATACAGCTGCTTATAGGACTAAATAAGTATTTTAAAGGTAACAACACTTTCTTTGTTGTTTTTCAAAGGTTACTGTAGTGGAGGGACCCTCTGGTGATTTAATCCCCAAAATGAAGGAACGATTTGGAATAAGATACTTTGATTTCGTGTTTTTGGACCACTGGAAAGATCGTTATGTACCAGATACTAAACTTCTCGAGGTAGGAAGGCAAAGGCAAATACATACACACACGCAGTATTGTTTACATTAACCCCTCAAGAAATGGTTCTAACATATGAAAAATTACAACCATATTTATTTTATAACATTGTAGGACTGTGGTCTACTGAAAAAAGGCACTGTCCTGTTAGCCGACAATGTCATTTGTCCTGGAGCCCCGGAATATTTGAAATATGTGAGGAACAGCGCACACTATGAAAGCCGATACTACAAGTCCAACCTGGAGTACACCAAAGTAGAAGATGGCCTTGAGAAATCTGTCTTCTTAGGATGAGAAAGAATGAATGAATAGTTCTGTAAAACAGGGACGGCACAAGGGAAAAAAACAAGCCAGTTCCTCTAAAATACCCAGTCTTGTGATACTATGTCTACTAAGAACAGACAAACGGATGTTTTTGTCCTTAACAAAACCCACTTGCAACATCGCAATGCTGTGAAATCTCCTTATACGCCATTTCTGCTATGGTTTAAGATATTTTATAACACAACCTGCTGATATCTTGTAAATTTTTTTCAGGAGAGTGATTGTACTATTGGATAAAGCTATGAAATTCATGTTGTTTTTCCTAATCAAAGAATATCACAGAAGTCTTTGTGTATGTATTGTTGTAAATGTATTTTTTTTCAGTACAAATATCTAAGTATTTTTAATTAAGATACATAAGATACATTTACTTAAGAAGCAAAATGACATCAGATATTTAGTCCTGTTTTCTGAAAAATGTATAAAAATTGAGTTTTTGCTTAAAACAAGAAATGATGACTGGCAATGGTAATAAAACATATTTTTTCTTGTTTTTACATGTAATTATGATACATTTTTCGGAAAACAAGACTTAAGTCAATTTTAATCTCAAGTAAACTGAGTAAACATCTTGTTCTAGAATTTTTTGATATTTTTGCTGGAAAACAAGACAAAAATGCTGAGTAAGAACTAAGTGTTTATATTGGTATTGTATTAATAAACTAAAATAAAAGTTGAGATTCAATACATAGGACAAATTGTATATAAAGACCATTTTATTAATATGATAATAACATTAATAATTAATTTGAATCCCAAAAACTCACCCAATGATAGTTTCTATGTTCAAATAACTAAAAGTAATTAAAGAATTACTTTTGCAAATTTTCAAAACAGGCACGGGGTAGAATTAGAAAATAATGATCTTTAAAAAAGCATCATATGACCCCTTTAATGAATGAACAATGCATTATGCTTTCAGAAGACGTTAAGCCTCTTTTCATGGGAAAATAGAGCACTGTTTTTACAATGATGGGGCATTTTTGTCTGAGTTATGCAGTGTTTTTATTCTGAATGTATGAAACAGTCAATCAGAACAATCTACATGTGTTTTGTGCTGAAAAACTCAAGCAGATTGTATGTTGAAAAGCATGTACACAAATACATGTGTTTGAAAAATTGGCGATTCACCAAAACTTGAATGTAAACTCGTTCTCGGCACATCAGTCCTGAGCCCTTCCTCTACTGAAGATCTTGGCTAGGAGGGAAACGTTCGATTGAGCTTTGTCCTGGATGGTTTTGCTCTTCTCTTGTGCCTTCTGGAGGTTCTTCTTGGACAAGCCTTTGTTCTTAAACCGTTTGAGGTGGATCTCTTCTTCTGTAGGCCGCTGTTTGTAATCCCACGTCTTCTCCTCTACGACCTCTCCCTTCTTCTCCTTCTTCTTCCTTAGGTTCTCCAGCTTCTGGCTCTTTTCCACACTAGCCAGGTAGAAGTTGGTCTCCTTCTTCGCCTGGGAGATTTCTGTTCTCATACGCTGATGATACACCGTCTGCTCGTAAGCCAATCGTTCGCTGAGATGGCACCACTGGAACCTGTTCAGGTACTTGATGAAAGAGAGAAAAAGTAACTATACAGCTTTATATGATGAATTTTACATCTACATAAGGGAGGTACCAAAAAAACTCAAAAGTCTGGGTTTGGTAAGATTTTTAAATGTTTTTGAAAGAAATCTCCTATGCTCGCCGAGACTGCATTTATTTGATGAAAAATACAGTAAAACCAGTAATATTGTGAAATATTATTACAATTTAAAATGTAATTTATTCCTGTGATCAAAGCTGAATTTTCAGCATCATTACTCCAGTCTTCAGTGTCACATGATCCTTCAGAAATCATTCTTATATTCACTTTTAATCAATTTAATTCATCCTTGCCGAATAAAAGTGTTAAATTCTTTAAAAAAATAATTTACTGACCCCAGACTTTTCAGTAGTAGTGTATCTGTATTATGTACCTTTATGGACCACAGGTCGCTGCTGAAGCGGCTCCTCTTCTTGTTGGCCATGGGTGTGTTGTGCAGACTGGCCGCGACTCTCTTAGCGATGCGCTTGTCTCTGAACTCCACCCAGCCCTCCGTAAAACTGGATGAATTGCTTCCTGCTTTCTTTTTCTTTCTTTTCACACAACGATCTAGAAGAGAGTCACAAAAAATATTTGTATGGAAAGTTGGTCAAACATGAAAACATGCACAAGGGATAATTTTGGGGGGATTTTCAGCATCATTACTCCAGTCTTCAGTGTCACATGATTCAGAAATCAGTCTAATATGCTGATTTGCTGCTCAGTTATTATCAATTATAACTGTAGTTCAGGTTTTTATTATTATCAATGTTGCAAAACAGGTTTCGCTGCTTATTTTTCTACGTAAACTATGATACTTTTTTTCAGGATTCTTTGATAAAGATAATTTTTTTTTTTTTTTAAACAAATCTTTTGAAACACAAATGCTTTTACTGTCACTTTTGATCAACGGAATGCATGCCTGCTGGACAAAAGCTTACTTACCCCAAACTTTTGTACCTCAAAATGGTAGTGCATCATGATTTCCACAACATTAAGCAGCACAACTGTTTTCCACATCGATGATAATAAGAAACGTTTCTTGAGTTGAGCAGTAAAGACTTTAAGTCAAGTCACTTTTTATTGTCACATCACCACAGCACATGTGCCTTGGTGAGTGAAATTCTTGGGAGCGTGCTCCAGACAGTGCAGAAACAATTTACATATAAACATACAGACCTCAACAGATGACAATGTGCAATATACACATACATATAGTCAGTACACACAGTGTACTATTAGACATACTTACTTTAGTAATGATGCTGGAAATTCAGTTTTGCATCACAGGAATAAATTACATTTTAAAATATATTCAAATAGAAAACAGTTCAATGTTTCACAAAATTACCGTTTACTGTAATTTCGATCAAATAAATGTAGCCTTGGTATGAATAAGAGACTTAATCTGTTAAATGTTAGTTTGCTTTAATGGTTTAATTTAGTACTTTCAGAAGTACACTCATATGTAGATGACCCCAGAGCTAATAGACATCGACTAAAAGCCACAAAACAACGAAATTGATTTTAAAAATGTAATCTTTATTTCAATCATATATATATATATATATAATTGTAAAGGACTGTAGTTTTACCTTCAGGTTGTAGGAAGATCCTCCCGATCTCTCCGTACACACTCAGCATAGTCCGCATGTGTTTTGGTCTCATCCTCGGAGGAATGTGTCCCAAATACACGATACCAGGGATACAGTTCTTGCCCTTCGGTTTCTCAGGCTCATCTTCATTTATATCAAGGTCAAGAGCTTCACCATCATCTTCACTGTCAGCATCGTCTGCATTCTCCTCCTCCTGCTTCTCATCTTCCTCTCGTTTAGAGTCATTGAACTCTTCTTCATTGACCATGGGATGTGTTTCTAGGTTTGCTGTAACTTCATTCTTCTCCGGAAGAGCCATAATTAGATGTGACAGCTATTAGAGACTAAAATGAGAAAGACGGCATATCATTTACAGTCACTTGCTGTCACCTTACTTACATTTCACTGCTGGTCATATATTCTCTATATAACCATGTATGTGACAAATACATCTTGAATATTAGAAATCTTGTAAAATCTCACGTTAATATCTAAAGTAACTTTCTAAAGTATCTAAAGTAATCCGCTCACGACCTCTTTAAACCAGTAACTGCAAAACACTTTCATTTCATGTGATTCTTACTTTGAAAGAGTGACCAGTATATTTCCATGTAAAATATTATCTTTATCCATAAAGATGTATGTCCATTCCAAGATGTTTTGGGGGGGAAATTATAGAAACAAATCGACTCGTTCAACACATGTGGCACGGCGAGCTGCTCTGACGTCAATTTCAAGCGTCAAGAAGACAGCCTGGACTTTCTTAAAGAGACAGAACTCTTTTTACAACGCGCACTCTAATATCCATTGTATTATATGATAGAATTAATTTTATTATAGGCTTAATGTACCACATATTCTTAGGATAACATAATATAATATTCTAACCCTGTCTGAATTTAATATATTTCAAATATTAATACAGGAATGGACAATAATTTAAAGCACTCTGTTATTGTAGTATTCATACTAAACATTGGAGGGCGACAAAACACAATGAAATATTTGAGCCCGGGCAATTTGAACAGCCTCACAATTCTAATCTGCAATTTGTTAAAACATAGCTCACACTTTTAAGCATAAACTGCAGGATGTTCAGTGGTGTAATGTAACGAAGTAATAATACTTCGTTACAGTACTTAAGTATTTTTTGGGAGTATCTGTACTTTACTTGAGTTTTTATATTTCAGACAACTTTTACTTTTACTCCACTACATTTCCTAATTAAAATGTATACTTTTACTCCGATACATTTCCCCGAAGCTTATTCGTTACTTGATACAAAATAGTCAGAAGTCAGAAGAACACGGACCTGCAGTAACGAATAAAGCAGGTTTGACGAATCAGTGGTCTGGCGTTTGGAAGTTAGACTCCTAATATAATTTAATATAGTTAACTTAATCTATATCACACAAAGAGTACCGTTTTTTTGCAGATATCAGCATTAACACATTTAATAATAATTTTATACAAGTTCAGTAAAGCAATATATTTATGCATCTGTAACTGCAGGTTAAATGCATCCATGTCCCCTATGAGATACATTAATTAAACTGTGTGAATACATCTAAATGCTATTTCAGATGCAAATTCCAGAAATGTTTTCTTATGTTGGAATGAAAGACAATAAGTACCGGATGAAGTGCTTCTTATTCTTACGTAATATTGCTTGTTTTTGCTCAATTTTGCCAACGAAAATAGTTCCAAACAAAGATCACACAGCACTGTTTTGCGTCTCTGAGCAATGGACGGTGTTTACTTATTGAATGAATCAGCTTTTTTTGAACGAATCGGGTGAATAAATGATTCAGTGATTCACTCATTAACACAGTAAAATGCTTTGTTTCGGAATGAATCAGTCGTTTGAATGAATCGGTTGAATCTCAATGACTCACTCATTTACAGTCACTTGCTGTCACCTACGGGCGGTTTTAATTTCTCATTTCGACTATTTTTTAAATATTTTAAATTATTTCAAATATCAGTATTCAACGTTTTATGTTAAAAACAAAACATTAGGCCTATTTATGCATCTGTAACTGCAGGTTAAATGCATCCATGTCCCCTATGAGATACATTAATTAAACTGTGTGAATACATCTAAATGCTATTTCAGATGCAGATT